AATATTCCTTATTTAAATGTTAAAACTCACTAAAAAGTATCAATAGCTACACAAAAAAGTTAATATAATTAACCTTAATTGCAGCAATACTCTTAAACGTACTTGATCCCTAGACACTTTTGATGTGTGTATTTAGTACGGAAACTATAAAACCTTATTTCAACAAGAGACACTTTTTCATCACAATTTTTCATGACATTATAATTCAAATGAACATTGACATTGTCAAGTGTTTGAAATAAAAGTAAAGCTACATTTCAAAGAGCCCATTGATAATAATACGATTTTTTCAATTTTAGAGCCGGTTTCCTTAAAAAATGACAAAACCTCATAAACTCAATTTTAGAGATGTAGACGCGGTGTTACAATACATTAGAAACTTCCTTTTAGGAAGGAAATATACTCTACACAATCGATTTATGCCGTTCATATCTTCGCGAACAATCCCACCACCTGATATACCTCGCAGCCCAGAACTCAAGTTGGCAAATAATTATTATCACAAGCGGTCTGCCTACGATTCTGTATGGCCACCCATCGTTGCACCAGTGGCCGAAGGTCCAGCTATTGCACAAGATCCAAAAACGCGCGGTAGCGAACCAGGAGGATTAAATCCTAATCAGGTAATTTTTTAATCTACCAATAACCCAACCTCAACTGCACAACCAAGTGTACAAACTCACTTTTGCATGGTATTTTATACGCTGTACCGAAGATTGTACTTACACAACATTTAGGTGTTTCTGCTTACTGCTTTATTTATTTCTTTTTTGGACAACCAACAATACGAAAATTTAATATAACAAATAGTAGAAACAGTGGAACAGAGACATACAAAATTCTGCCTTATTTAAAGGTCGCCACGACATTCAAATATAGGCACGATAAAATAATAGAATAATCAAGTTGATCGAATGAAATAAAAACAAACTTTAAGTTACAATAAACCCTAATTTAAATAATAACCATTGCTACAATGAATATGAATTAATATTATCAAAAAAGTAACAACTGCTTTATGGTAAAAATAATCATATAAAAAAAAAAAAAAATATCATTAGCATTCAAAGAGATAAAAGTTACTGTGAAACTACACAGATGCGGACGTGAGAGCAAACTTGGTTGTGCGCTTAGATCGTGAAGGAGTATTTAGACTATTAACTTATCTATTAAAATTCTTGTCACTCGTCACAGCAAGGCTAAATACTTTGATTGTAGAGTCATTGTTTAAAACGGTTAATAACCTTTGTACACAGGTATGTTTCGTGTGCCCCCCGACACCAGGCCCTCCGTGGTGGTGGGACGGCCACTGTTACTATGAGTATCGCTATGGTAAACCAAAATACCCTTGTGCAAACGAGCCATTCCAACCGCAACCTTGCCCTGCCCCGGAAAATACATGCGCTCCATGTCCACCTGGGTGTTAACAGTAGCGCTTAAGCAACACCAGGTTTGCAATTGAAAATACTTAAGATACATATTCAGAATATTATTCTGTATTTGGTTCCAAATTCCGTAAGAAATGACAATGATATTGACACAGAAGTTTCCACGAGATCCAACCCCATAACGCCTGCGTACAATACAGGAAACTTTCGAAGAGCCCACATTGTCAAATACTTCCCGGTAGCTCGAAAACTTAGATGCCACGTGGCTATAAGAGGCCATTGTTACAGCGACCACCATGATTGTTGCAGAGTTTTAAGAACTTTTGTTATCTTGAATAGGCTGTGAAGATATTCAAGTAATTCTTAGCTCATAAATGCTTAATAACTGCCTTGTGGCCGAACAGTTACCATGCTGGTCTGTCACGCAGAGGTCTCGTGTTCGATTCCCGGGCCGGGTGAAATATTTGTGTGGAGAAATATTTATTTATTCTCTCGTCTCACACGTGTTTGAGTGTAAATTTTGGTTGTCTTTGTGTATGTCCATAGTACCCACGATGCAGGGTTGCCCTAGTGCGGGGCAATGAGTATGTACGTTAAAAAAAAGTTAATTGTTGAACGTAACTTTTAAAAAACATTGAATAAAAAATATAAACGACTGTAATTACAGTACAGCTAGGTGAAATTATCTAAATTCCTGTTATGAAATAAATTCATCTTTTTAGCATATTTGTTTAATTTACACGTTCTTCCAACAGTCGTATCAAGTTGCAATTTTGGAATTCCAAATCTTTTACTTGTGTTTCTTACTTGATTTCAAATTCTGTCTTTGACACGGGCCCATGTGGGCTATTCGGTACAGGAACTGAATTATTAAAACAGTCCTCAAACTCGCAAAGCAACGTTCGTGTGTAAACCATTATTTATTTACGTTTTGCACTACAAGAAATGTGTTAATACTGACTTACATTTGTCGTAAAAGGTTTTAAGTAAAGTTTTTCGTATTAATCTTTTTTTATTGTCCAATTTTTGCAGTCTACATACATGTAGTAGTCTACATATTATGTTTTGAGTTTTATTATAATTAGTTGTGTTAAAACTACTTAGTATTTAATATACAGTCACACACATCACGTTATACGCTATTGTTCGAATATCGCCTACCGTTGCAGCGGAACAAGATTCGTAAATATGCAGCTTAATGTTTTTTTTTTATGATGCTAGGTGATGGGACGAATAAGTCTTGCGCCTGATGGTAAACGACACGCCAGTTGCAGTGCCACTCAGAGCTTTAAATCCCAAAGATGTGAGGTGCACTGCCTCTGCGCCCATCAAGCTGAGACACGACTCGAAAAGTTCCATGTGCCTGTAATTTCGCCAGCACGCTTCAAAACCGGAACGCAGTAATACTCACATTACTGCTTGGCGGCAGAAATAGGTAAGATGGCAGTACTTCCCTGAATGAACTCTTTCACAAGGAGCTCTATTGCTACATTGCTACAACAAGTGCTATCATCTGTACCTAATAAATGTAACCGAAGCCTCTCGACCGCAACGAAGCGTCGACGCGCGACTCCATATTTGCATAATACAAATTTGTTCCCTAATTGATGGGAAAATAGAGATGAATATGCTGTAGGCGAAAAATATTACGCGCCGCGGCGCTTCGACTCTGCGCCGTGTGAGTTGAGCCCTACACAAACACGCACATACAGTAGTGCTACTGTAAGTGAATGGTGGATCTTTCCCTGGATTTCTCTGCGACGGCGGTGAACCCTACCAATAGAATTAAATAATTACTGTAAATTAGATAGAAAATATAAGCCGTGATAGCGTAATGGTTTGACCTACCGCCTTTCCTAAAACCTGCACGTCGAAGAAAAATCATAGCCCTCAGGCCAGCGTGGTGGACTATGGTCTAAACCCTCGCCTGAGAGGAGACCCGTGCCCAGCAGTGAGATATATAAATGAGTTTATGAGGATGAATATAAAATTGTTTGTTTTAATTCTGTAGTTAAAAGTTAAAACTAATAAATAGCTATAAAATGGCGCAATAACAATGTGTTATAAAATCCACATTCTATGCATCGAGCGCGAAAATTAAATAATCTAGTGGACGGAGATCAATTGTGGTCCAATTGTGGCGGTACGGCAGCGCGGGCGCATTGAATCGCAAATACCTTGCCGTCCTCCACCTTTGTACTTAGACGCAATATTTTATACCCTTTGTTATTATTACTTTATTTTATTTTAAAAGTGCATAAACAGAATGTAATCAACACAACACGGTAACAGATACAATTTGGTAACTTAATAGACTAGACTACAATCCAAAAACAGTGTACACAACATAATAAAATTTGTCTTATACTCTATTTCTATTTCCTTATGGCGGCCACTAGGCTTGGGCCAGTGTCAATTTCGGTCTCAAACTGCGTCCACCAATTTACTTAACTTTTGCAAGCTCGAATTCAATCAATTAATAATGTCCCTAACGCGTTTCCGATTCGATTTTTTATAACAATCGATTTTGTTTATGAAGACATTTAAATCGTGAATGTGAGCGGGTTCAAAAAAGAAAATATTGTCAGATTGGAATCTTGATGTTGCCTTTGACAATTGGTGTATCCAAGAATTAATAATTAATGAATGTTAAAGCCTTTAAAAGCATAAAAATAGAATTATAGCAAAGAAACAAGAAGGGTTTACCTAACTTTCTGGATTAGACAAAATGCGCATGTGCTCCAGATTTTTTGCATAAAAAGTTTATACTACATATCTGTACGTAAGCGTAAAGTTTTTTAACTAGACCAAGAGAGTACTAATTCTGTTTTCTTAATGCGATATTCTGTTCTCAGATTACAAGTTTCCTAGACAATCGACTTAATAAGCAGCTACGTAATGATACATCAAAACACCTTATTACCTATGTCCCAAGACTTGACAACTGTTCAAGGTCGAAAAAACCTTTTTTACAAACCTGTATTTCTACATATAATTTATTAAGTATATAGAAATACGTCATTTCATATTTATGTATAATAATTTTGTTTTCTAACAATGAAAATTGTGTCATCTGCAAAAATAATCTTGTTCGTCCCATCGTATGATATTATATAAAAAAAGTCGTATTCTTCTGTTGCTTTAAGAGGGAGCAGAGGAAAAATTCTTACTCTTCGATTTGATTTTAGAGGGGTATATCCACTTTAAAGTTAAAAATAAAATATTGTATAAGTAACTACACGATATATTCAAGCAGAGACATTAATCAGAAACATAAAACAATAAAGTTTCCTCAATAGATAAAAATCACGAAATGACCTCTAATTTTCAAATGTTTTATTTATTAGGACAAAAATTTGATAATTAATTATATTTATGCATGATCGACAACTGTCACTACGGATTTTTTTTTAATCCCTTTAGTTTTAGAGTTATTCCGCTAAAACGAATTTGGTACTTTTAATGCGCAAAATTCAACATCTCCTGTCGCATGTCACGCGAACTTCAGGCATATATTTGTTTCACAAATTTGGGCGGAGCCAACGTCAAAACTTTTTTGGTATGCTCCCTCTTAATAACAACCCAAAGGTGACGATAATTTGTATTTCATCCTATTCCCCGATCCACTGCGTGCTACAAAAGAGTAATATAAAAAATAAATAAATTTATCAGAAAATTGCATAAAAAAAACATATATTATAACCCATTTGGTTCCATTAGTACTGTTTCAATTGATTACGAATAGTTTTTTCTTTGTATAATTGACAGACAATTTTATTTATTTAGTGCCAATCGAGCTCCTTATGAAAGAGTCCATCCAGGGAAGTACTACCACCTGTTTCTGCCGCCAATTTGTATTATTAACATTACTGCGTTCCGTTTTTGAAGAATAATGGTGCTGGTAAAATTATAGGAACATGACACTTGCCAACTTGTGTCTCAGGGTGACAGGTGCTGTTGCAATGCTCAGATCTTTGCAATTTGAAGCTCTGAATAGCAGTGCAACTGCTATGGACAGGCTTGTCGCTTACCACCAGGTGCACGACTTGTTCATCCTGTCACTTGGTATCATAAAAAAAAAATCCTTTCTTTTTCGTAGCACACAGTCGATAGGCACTTCACTATATTACCCGATGGAAAGTGACGACGTGGACGAAGATGACATATCATCGTCACTATCACTGTCAACCTAGAAGGTAAAGGTCACGATTCAAGTTGTGTAAGTTCAGCAATTACCCAGTGTCGACTCTCAAACCAGGGAATGTGTAGTATGTAGTTTACTTACTTTTTACGACAAAGTGCACGTCTTTTTGTTACATTTACTTCATGAAAGTCATAAACGCAGGACTGCACACTACACTAGCGACGTCACTTTTTAAAGTCTCATCCACACGTGTTTCTGATGTCGTAATTTAATTATTAACAAGACACGTGTGGATGAGACTTTAAAAAGTGACGTCGCTAGTGTAGTGTGCAATCCTGCATTTACGACTTTCATGAAGTAAACGAGGGTAGTTTCTCACCGCCGCCTGAGCTTCTACCCGTACTAAATGAAATACGTAAATTATCCATTAGTTTAATTCATCACAGACATCTACTATCAGAGACACGCCAATAAAAAAATCAACCTGAATTAAAAAGTATTGTTGTTTATCGTTGTCAATATGTATTATATTATTAAGTTACATGAATGAATAGATAAAAAATCATAGATAGCTTATCAAATATGATTTATTAGTAATAAAATTTGATGCAAAAAAATAGAGTTTAAAAAACCGGTGCATGACATACAAACCCCCTGACGAAAAATAAGAGGTTTTACATTTTATTTTGTTTGATAAATAAAATTTTCCGTTCAATCTCGAGCTATCGTTGACCACATCTTGATAGTAGCCAAGACTAAATACGTGTTTTATTTTTAAAAAGAAAATAATGTGTAGCAGAACGGTAATCAAATCTGTCACACATTTATCAAATTCTACTCGAATATAGATAAAAAAAATTATACATGAAGGCATAGTTAAAGAATCATCCACTATAGCACGTTTGTCTACAGATAAACGAGAAGGCCAATAAATCTGGTGCTTACCAAGGCGGTGAGGGGCGCTAGAATATCCCCTCGATCTATTCTGTGTAGTCTATTGTATCGGGATTCTGAGGGAGACACCCCACGTGAAAGAAACACAAAGGGTTTGAACCCAAACGTTACTCAATGAAAGTAATAAAAAGATCAACTATACAGGGGAGAATTAAATCGTAACGTTACTGACAGTTACTAAGTAATAATTTTAAGTATAAACTGCACACACCGGCACATTTAACGGAACACTAATGAAATCCCCAAACGAATGCAGTGTATTTAAAAACTCTGGCCGGTTATTTTACTTTTTAACCCACTTAAAACAACAAATTCTGAATTCGATTATATTTTGGTCTTTTTGTGTATGGTATGCTATTATTCCTACATTTTGTGAACCGATTTCAATGATTTTTTTTTATTGGAAAGGGAGTATCTCAGTAGTCATCATCATCATCATGTACAGCTTGACTTCACCCACTGCTGGGTATAGGCCTCCAAGTTTCTTTACCACTCCCCATGATCAGTAGTGGTCCCGTTTAAATTTGAAGAAAATATTGTACTTTCTTCTCTATAATATTATATTCTCCAGGCGATAGCTGAAATTCAGTGAAAAAAG